TTTGCACTCTTCCTGGATGATACCTTTGACATCCTCCCACAACTCATCTGGTCTTCGCTCATTAGTGTTCAAGGCCTCAAGCCTGTTCCTGAGATCATTCTGGACTTTGATTTCATCTTTTTTGTTACCAAGTCAAGATTGTGATGGATAAGCAGCGCCAGTGCAATGCAGTCTTTCAGACAGTTTCATTCCTCAGAAGGGACATATGCTACCTGAGTAGTTGTCTATTGTCTCTTTACAAGCAACAGCAAATGTTAATCTCAGTAAGACAACAGAGCAAAACTTTCTCATCTAGCTAAACAAACTAAATTTAACGATCTATAACAAAAGCATATACCTTCACTCTTACATAGGAAATTTTAAATATTATTATTACAATTTTGACTAGAAGTGGAACAGTATCAATTGCTTCTAAAAATCTTACATGGAACACCCTCTCTGCTTTCCTTATGTATTTTCTATTTTTCCTTATTCAACCTTTAATTTTTCTTCCCACTTCTAAGAATTGAAGCCAGTAATAGCAAGAAAAATGTCATTTGTGTATTATTTCCCTTCTGGCTACAGAAAATGCAAAATAACATAGAAACCTCTATTTAACTACTATATTAAGGTAAATATTTAATCACAGATGATACAGATGAAATATCTTTTAAAATTATATTCATTAAAATACAGGAAATATGAATTTATATTCAAAACTAGACTTCAATGAGTGTTATTAATGCTTAGACTTAATATTATACTACCTGTATAAATTATAGAGTTATGAAAATAACACATCTTTTACTTTAAGACAAAAGAGAAGAAAATAAAAATGATTCCATGAAATCATCAGTAGACATTTTCTCTTTTATATATCATATGGTGGCAAGGATTCTGGGGCTTCGTCTGACATACTTTGGACATGTTGCCAGGAGGGACGGGTCCTTGGAGAGGGACATCATGCTTGGGAGGGTGGAGGGACTGGGGTAATTGGGATGGGTGTGTCAGAGGCAGTGCGGTTGGCGCAGGATAGAGCAGGGTTTAGAGCTGTTGTGCATAGGGTCGCTATGAGTTGGAAACGACTCGATGGCACATAACAACAACAACATGGTGGAAAAGTCACAATTCTTAGGATATTAAAAAGTTTATGCCATTTTTTAGATCAATTAAAAATCAAATAGCCATGATAA